CACCTGCCGCTGCTTCTGACAGTCAGTGCAGATGGATGGGCAACTCCTCACGGGTATCTGCACTAACGCTACGGAGGACTTCAGCTTTTACCAGGGTGACCTGCAGACGAGGTTGAAAGCCAGGCAGGAATGTAACCGTAACTCTCTTAAATAAGGATCCATAGTCAACTATTTCATGCTTTTTTTTTTTTTCTTTTCAGTATTTTTTATATCCAGGACAACTGGAAAAGCAAAGCCAGGGCACCATGCAGTTGTGCCGGCCTGCTCCGCTGTTTGTGTGGGTGTAACCATCCTATCCCAGCACCTCCTCTTGTGTAGTCCAGGCAGAGAGAGAAGCTACGCAACGAAAGCACAGAATTTCTCTCCCAGGTGCTCCCTGCGACTAGGGCTAGGCTCGAAGTTGAACCTCATGGGTATAAGCACTGCGATCCAGATCTCCCCTGCTTTTCTGCACACGTTAACGTGTTTTCTGAACTTTTCTGTTCTCCAGAGCGCTACTAACAATTATTAACCAGTCAAGACAGTTATTTCCCCTAGCAGGTGGCTACACCATGCACATCTGATGAGAGAATGTGTAGTCCAAATTAATCCAGAGATTGTTCCAAGGGTAGCAGTGATAGTTCTGGATTTAAATACAATGAGTTAGGCGGCTTTGTTGAAAACACCATCATAAGATCCTACAAGCAAAAGCAGCAGGAGGAAGAGCTGTGTTTTCAAACGGCTGAGAGAAGTGCAACTGGCACCGAGCAGCGAGATGGATGCCTGAAAGGCTGTTCACAAAGAGAAGAGATCCAAGACTTCAAAATGTGAATTAACCTGAAGCAAAGCAATCAAGTTCAGGAGACACACAGCAGAAGCGCCAATTAGCGAGACGAAGATTTCTTATCGTTTTTAGAACTTTTTCTGATGCACGAACAAGCTTGCTGCCCTGCCCCAAATGGATTTGTTCCCAGTAACGAGGGCGGTGGCAGGATGGACTGACGGGTCTGTGCATTCTGGACGGTACCTACACATTCTCAACTTACTCTGCTGAAGATCAAAGTGCACTTGGCAGAAAAGTTTTCAGCTTCAGCCCCATTGCAAATTAATCTCTTTCTGGCCGTACGACTGCAATTAGCATATTCATAGAGATTATTAATTAATCAGAAGTGCTGCTTAAATAAAAGTAAAGCTAGACTATTTCCACTCATCAGTATAATGTATTTTAAGAAAACACATGACACTGTAGTCAACCATTCACCGGAAGCTCAGTTTGGCAGAATATTACTCAAAGTTATAGATTAAGACGTTAAATGCTGTCTCCAGTTTAATGAAGAAATCAAGGGTGATTAAGAAGCGTGAAAGCCGAAGCCGCAGGGAGCCATAGACTCAATAGGAGCCCCCGCAGAGTCCAGCATACATGCTCCCGGAGCCTGTCACGCGACGACTCCTTCACGTGGGTACGTGTGGGTTTCACGCTGCTGGAACAAGCACTGGGGCAGCTGGAACCATGCATGCACACAACTCTTATCGAGGCAGAAATGCTCGAAGGCAAAATTATCAGACTGTGGAAGATGTCCTCGGCCGAAACCTAGCAAGCTCCAACAGAGAGGCCAGTCTGGGTACGCATGGCCTTAAGAACTCCAAGACCTTTTAGTGCTGGGCAGCAGGCTTTCTAAAAGTCTCAGTTCCATATTCAGATAAAGGCAACTCCTCTTGTGTAAATAACGTAGTTTAAAAGCAAACAAACAAACAAACAATAAACCCCAAACAAGCAAAAAGCAGCAATGCAATTGTCCTACCTCTGAGCTTGATCTCTCTTCACCTGATCCACTTATCCAGAGCACAGGGAAAGTTAACTCTTATGCACACGTGCATTAGGGATATTTGCACCACAACCAGGCCGCCTCCTTTGATGTGCATTTCCATCTCCCCTCGTTTCTTCTGCCACCTAAAGCCTACCGATGTAAACAGAAACACTCCGACACATTATTTGCAAAAGCCAACATAAACGGCTAATGGAAACCCAGCAATGCTCTGCTTCCCTTTGCTGACTTCGTCTTTAAATATGAGCTACGTGGGCATAATCTACCTCTTCCTGAGTATCTAGAACATTGCAGGCACTGCTGCAAATACTACGGTCTCTTCTTGTGAAGAAATGTGATGGTTTGGGACTGTGGTTTTGGGGGGGGCGGGGAAAGTCTTTCGGGCTTAGGCTAGTCCACTTCATTCACATTGAATGGAAAAAAAAAAAAAGTCAAAGTTTATCTAACTGTGCTCCAAAGAAGCAATGAATCAGCTCAGAATCTGCAAACAGTACAGTGAAGGCAAGCGGTAGATGCCATGAATCAAACCAAAACCAGGTAACTACCCTGTGCCTATAGATCCAGGCTCATCTCCCTGAAATGAAAAGCGCAGCTGTTGAATTTGCTAAGCTAATTACTGGTCGCACACACTGAATTGCTGGATGCCGCGACAGTACGCTGAAAAGGAGTCCTCAACACACGGGAATAAACAGGCCAGTTAAGGATTCCAGCTCACTGCAAGGTTTTGTTGCGGTTTTTTTCCCCTTATAGCCCTCTTCCATTACTCTTCCCCGCTGCTCCTTGCTGCTGACTGGGTCCCCAAACTGGGAGAAGGACCAGCCAGGTAAAACTCACACGCTTGCAGACCACTTGGCCGGGGAGGAGAGAGATGCTGCGCAGCCTGCTTGGGATTACTACATCATCCAGGGAAGTCTTATCACCCAGCCAAGATACATGACCTAATGTGTACGAGACTACTTCTACTAATAACAGAACTCTGCTCTTTTGTAAAGAAGCTTTCAACCTTCTTACGTTGATATTTTTACCAAGAAAGTATCTTTATGAACACTAGCATCAACAGCCTCATCCCACCATGATAGATCATCTTTGTTAAAATCCCCAGTTCCTGAAATTAATCTGATGTCTTGGGGAGAACAAGACTTTTTAGATGATCCACAGGTGAACAGTCATGGAAAATGCTTGCATAGAAATTCCTTTTCAAAAGAAGGTTTTAATCAATCATTTTAATCTCTATTCCTTCCTTTAAAAAATTAAGAAAATATACTTGAGGTACTTTCTCCTCAGAAGTTTAAAATATTCCATTTAGATCAAACCTCTTTTTTGCTTGGAGGTGCTTAAGCAGGTTACTTGAACAGCCCTGGAGAACATGTTTTAAGTAAGAGGCAAAAGCACAATAATGCTTTCCAAACTAGGCTTAAAAAGGCAGACACGAGTTTTGTTCTGTTTTGGAGAAAATAAACAGAGAAACACATACTCAAAAAGTCCCATGCAGAGGGGACTACTTCCAGAAGATCGAATATCTTCTTTCACATTGAGGCATTCTGGATGATTGTAATTAGTCTGGCCTGTAAATAGCAGCATTATTTTGTATCCTTTCCTCTCCACCTCAAGAGCATATTAAAAACCAACCAACCAACAAACCTTTCAAAGCACTTACCTCCCCTTTAAAGAACAATATTCTGTAGTTACATACCCATGCAGAAGCTCTCTAACAACTGAGAAACCTCAAATCTAATGCTTC